TAACCCCTAAACCCTAAACCCTAAACCCTAAACCCTAAACCCTAAACCCTAAACCCTAAACCCTAAACCCTAAACCCTTAACCCTAAACCCTAAACCCTAAACCCTAAACCCTAAACCCTAAACCCTAAACCCTAAACCCTAAACCCTAAACCCTAAACCCTAAACCCTAAACCCTAAACCCTAAACCCTAAACCCTAAACCCCAAACCCGAAACCCCAAACCCGAAACCCGAAACCCCAAACCCGAAACCCGAAACCCCAAACCCCAAACCCCAAACCCCCTAACCCCCAACCCCCTAACCCCAAACCCTAATTATTACATTTTTATCTAATAGAATTCTTAACTCTAAATTTCTACCTCTACATTCTCTAATTTTTTTAGATCTTCAGAAAAATCTTAACAAAATTTAAGCATGTAAAGTGTAGCTATAGAATATGATGTAAAAATCATAAATGTCATATTTCTAGTAATATTAAAAAACTAAAAATTTAAAGATTATGAAAGCTTACAAAAGGCAGACACTTGAAACTGCAATGCTCGATGAAAAATCAAACGAGCGCTCATCAAACAAGTTTGCATGAAGATTCCTAAATGCAGATCAAATCAAGAACAAATAAATGAGAAACCACGTATGTATTTCTTCAAAAACAATAAATTTCTTCAACTATAACATTGATATCAGCAAGATATGGGATAATAACGAAAATCATAAAAATTCATGCATTTGTACCTTCTATTATTATCATCATATAAAGTATAAACTATGAAAGTCACTCATAGTACATTCCTCACTTTACTCAATGTTTTCATCATCAACTTATTAAATAACTAAAAATTTAATATATCAATGATAAATATAACTAGTTTATGGGTTGACACTCTACAGGGCTTGCAGGTTTTAATAATATTGCAAAAGAAAATAACGTTGATACGAGAACCAAGGGGTTCCTTTTCTGAGGGGATTAGAACCCATTTCTAGGTTCTCTCTCTCTCTCTATAAACTGAAAGAAAAAATAAAATGGAGAAGAGAATGAAGATACCCATTTCTACGCTTATGAATCTTCTTCTTCTTCTTTCGGTTGATATATTTCTAATCTGCTTCTCTTTTCACTTTCTATCTTCTCTACAAGGTTCTGTATATTTTGAAAGAAGAGAGTGTGAGGTTTTTTAAAGGTTCTAACTAGAATTTGTTTTTAGTCAATTATCTCATGACACTCTAATAAATTAAATAATTTGTAATTGCTGATGTAATAATGATGTTATACTTCAAATCTGGTTCATTTTCACTTGCATAAAATCAAATTATGAATTGGACCGTTATACTCTCTTTTTTCCACTATCTTTTTTCTTTTAAAATTCAATCTCTCTCGTGTCTACAAGTCCTAAGGTTTTTATAGGCAGAAAATGATGCAGAGGTGCTGATGGGTATTTCAAGGAACTACTTGGCTGGCTTCATATTGCTCAATTTAATTTATATGGTTCAATGAAACAAACTAAAATTATGATCACATACCCACATACCTTTAAGGAGATATTTTGCAAGAACAAAAAATAAAAATAAAAATCAACAGTCAACTCTACATGCATAATGAGGTGCACCTGATATCTCATGAGAAAATGGAGGATTGAGCTTCAACTCCCCCCCAAGTTTCCTTGATGTTATCAGGTCCGCTCTCGAGCGTAACTGTCGCAGGCAAGGTACGCGTAACCTTGTTTCCAGAACCGCATCACCGTTCCCCATCTTCTCCAGTTCAAATTGACCCATCAAATCCCCTTGGCAACCAAACGACACATAAAGAAATGTTTTAAAAATAATAATAAGTTTATAAATATAAGAAACAACAGAACAAGCCATTGAGAAATAACGAGAAGATGAAGAAAATATAAAAACCTTTGAACTGAAGTTTTGAGGGGAACCAAGCGGAGAAGAGCGAAGGATGTTGAGAAAAGCGATTGGCATCGTCGGGTGTAGAAAATGAAAAACTTAATAGTGGAAGTTTAGATTGTCAAGATCATTGAAGAAAAATGGCCAGGGAAACGGTAAGAGGAGAAAGTGAAATGATGGAGGAGATAGATTTTCTTCACATCTCTAGGGTGAGGCGGAAGGCAGAAAGATGGCGTGTTCGAGATGAAGAGCAGCGTGAGGAAAAGAAGATGTTGTGTTCAGGTTTGCAATGATTTCAGCTATAAATGTAGCCAAGGTCTAAGTGGAAAGTGGCACGATTTTTGAGAAAAAATAAAGAGAAGATGGCATTTCAAATTATCAGAGATTTCAATTTTGGGGGCAACAGAGGAGAACCTTTTCGTCCTTTTTTTTCTTTTTCTTTTATGCGTCGAATTTTCTTAGTACATGAGAAATTGTCAGATGCATTAAATATATATAGAGAGAGAGTAAAAGCAAGGTTTATTGCAGTGTTTTCTATACACCATTCACTGTTTGATGGTGACCACTTTTTTTCTAAAAAAATATATTTTATTTCTTTCTCTTTGTCTTCTCTTCTCTCTTCAAGAAAATTACCGCTGTAAGTATATACAATCTATACGTACAAATGTACTGTTTGTAAAAAGCTGAGCATTACCAATTACAAATATTATGACTTCCACTCTTCCTCCTCTCTGCTATCCTACTGCTGATATTTTATTTCCTTCAAAAGTAGTTGAAATTTATAGCATATAAAGAAGAAGATAAAAATAACATGAAAGAATTAAAGTTTTATCCGAAAATATAAGAATAAAATATATTTCAGAATAATAAAAAAGATTCAAGGAAAAAAAGCGTCAATGTCACAGGCAAGGCACGCGTAACCTAGTCTCCACAACCACATCACCGTTCTCCATATTTCCCAGTTCAAACATATCCACTATTGACCCATCAAATCTAATCCCTTTGACAACCAAATAACACAAAAAGAAATTTAAAAAAATAACGAGTTAATAAATTTTAAAAAAATAACAGAACGAGACGTTCAGAGAAAATAAGAATACAAAGAAAATAAAATAAAATAAAAACCTTTAGATTGAGGTTTTGAGGGGAACCAAGGAGAGAAGCGAAGGTTGTTGAGAAATGTGATTGGCATCTTGGAGTGTAGAAATTGAAGATTGTAATGATCCATGGGCCAGCGGGGGTGTTCTTTTTGGTGTTTCAAATTATCAGATTTCATGTTGGGCTTGGAGGGGAATGGATAAGAGAAGAGAAAGTGAATGACGGAAGGGGGTTAGATTTTCTTCATCTCTATAACGTAGCAATGAGCAGATGAGGCGGGAGGCAGAAGATGGTGTGTTCAAGATGAAGAGCTGCTTGAAGAAAAAAAGATGGTGTTCAAGTTTGCCAGTGATTTAAGCTATAAATGTAGCTGAAGTCAAGTGGAAAGTGGCAAGATTTTTGAGAAAAAATAAAGAGAAGATGGCATTTCAGTCTAGATTTTTTATCACTTTGAAAAAACTATCGCAATGTTTACATATAACCAGACAATAAAGAAACTATTAGTAATTAGTGGCATGAATGCAAAACTTCCTTATGTTTTAAGCTTATTGTACCCCGAAACCAAAAGGGGGACGAATGGAGAGAGAGAGACAGAGAGAGAAAGGACCTTTATTGAGTAAGCCATTGGAAGTAACACATCAGGTTCCATTGCTTCGGCAAGAAAGTTGCGCAGGGCATGTATGAGTTTCTCAAAGGGTAATTTAATCTGAGGGAGCAGGAGAAGGGTCATCTCTTTAAAAACGATAGATCAATTATTCGTGTTAACAGGAGAGGATATGAAGTCCTACATCACTCACCAGATCATCATGGCAAGATCTTAACAAGGCCAAACCAACTTTGAAAACTATTTTAACACCCTGGTCCAAAATAGACAAGGAAAGTTGTTAGTATATAAGCAATCAAAATCTGAACAAAAAATATTGAAGCTTCCAACCAAGATAATGTAACATTACCAATTACTAACCTCATGGAGAAATTGTGTATCAACACTTCCTCTTCCTTAAACCGAATGCAGGAGAAATTGTGAGATGCAGGCAACTAAGACATCCTGTTTTTTAAGAAGAATTTTGTCATCTATCAGCATTGATGTGTTTTGTTTATATATATATCATTTATTTTTAAAAAAATACTAACATATTAAAAAGTGTTGACCAATTTGAATTGGGAGTAAACCAAAATTTAAACCATGATAGAAGACTATTGGAAATTGTAGGACGAGAGTAAGAGACTAATGAAAAAAGTCAATTTTTTTTCTTGTGTTTGTTTCAAAAAAACTTCAAATATATGATTATTTATAGGCACTATTATAAATATTAAAATTAATTGTAATCCTCAATAAATAAAATAAATTTAATTTATGATCCACAACTGCTAACAAATTAAAGAATATATAAAAATTCTAATTTATAAAATTCGACTACTAACAGATAAATTAATTATATTTTTAATTTACAAATTAATTCTTAACAAAAACTATAGGAGACAGCAGAATTATGTGTTAATTCCATCACCTCAAAAAATAAATACTAAAATGCATGGCCAGAGCTTTTGAGATAAAAGGCAAGAACAAAAAGAACATAAAGCCATCTGGACAGTGTCCTAGCCTAAGTTTTCAACACGCCAAATCCATTAGTAGATATGGCATAGACCCATTCAAATGTGCTAATTGATTATTGAATATGTATATTATCATTTTAACCTCATGAAATATGCATTGCAAGAATCCATTATCATCTAAAATAAGAGTAAGATGTTGGCATCAAACAAAAGAAGTGTCGGATGTGGTAATACAAAGCTAAGCATGTCAGCGTTGAGTCAATTTTAAAGTTACCGTCAGTATTCGTAAGACCTTGAGCTCCTCATCGGTCATATTCACAAGAGTTGTCATGTCAACCTGCATAATAATTAATAAGTGCATGCTAAAAGTGGAAGAAACAAATACATGAAAATGATTAGAAAAAAGAAGAGTAACACAATAAACAATGAATTTGGAGTACACATACTTTTTTTGCAAGTCTAATAGTCATTTTCCTAATGTTCGCGTCCCCATGGAAAGGAAATATTCTTCCTTTTCTCTAACTCCCAAAAAAATTGATACATTTTCCACCATTCTCTATTAAATTGTCATGCATAGAAAGAAAATTGGTTGTTAAATAACCGTCCATAAAAAGGCAATTGAGCCCCCACAAGTGGCTACGCGATATCATTGGCCTTCATCTTGGTGAGGAGATCAAAGTCATCTTCAAGCTTCTACAGGAAATCTTTTTAAAAACAAGTAAAATTTCCATGCCTTTTGTTGAGACTTTTCCTCGCAACTGAGTTGAAAGCTGTTTTACTCTCTGATTTAGGGGCTTCAATTACAACATTTTTTGCTGAGTAGCTTGACAGCCATCGATTTTGGTTTTGGCGGATCAAAATTTGCCGTTGTTGATTCACGGTCTTAAATAGCTTTTCGCGAATAAACTTATTGAAAATTCTAACAGATGAACCATAGACCAGTAAAAAGAAATAAAGAGAGAGAGTATTATACTATTATTATTGATAAAATTCTACATTAAAAAAAAAGTATGGTGAGAAAGACAAAAGAGATGATACAAAAATTCTAAATTCGCGCAGCTCTGTTATAGATAAAGAAATTATATATTCAAACCAATTGTAGAAATACCAACTACGTATTCTGGTAAAATATATGTTTATATATATATATATATTAAATTAATGTATATAATAAAATTAGAAAAATAGAAAAATATGTTTAGTGCCATATTGTTGTTAATGTATAAATTTTAATTATATAAGGTGAGAGAAAGAAAAACTAATTTGGAACTCAGATTTTTCAGTTTAGTTATAAGTATTTGGTTAGCTAAGTTGATTTTAAAATTTTTTTAACCGAATAAATAGATACTATTAAGTAATTATATTGATTGTTCAATATACTCCTAACTAAAATTATTGAATCTAATGAGTCACATACATTAATTATAAGATAACAACATAATAAATTTATAGCTGATTTTATTGCATATAAACTTATTTTAAGGAGAAAAAACTCCAATTCGTCCTAAACTTATGACGAGTTTGAATTTTAATTTTTTGTTAATTTGTTTGGATGATATCGAGTTTGCGGATTATCAAATCTAAATCCAAATCATCCATTTTATTACATTAATATTAATATAAATATCTATACTAAACAAAATTAAAATGTATTCATTAATATATATAATATTATATTATTATTTAATTTATTATATAACATACTATATTTAATAATATAAATATATCATATGTATTTTAATAAATTGACATATATAACAGGTTAATTTCATATGAATGTTGGAAGATTACAACCAAACCACCTCGACCTGCCACCTTTTTTCCACTAACTCGAACTCGACCTGAACCCAAAACCCTAAATCCAAAATCCAAAACTCAAAACCCAAAATCTTAAATCATAAACCCTAAAACTCTAAACCCTAACACCCTAATGGTATTTACTCATGGTTCCTCCTAGTTTTTTTATTAGATCTTGGTTGTTAATAAAATTATTCATCAAACTACTAATTTTTTGACAAACATGTTACAACCTTCTTCTTCCATGTTAGATGTCTCTTTAAGAAATTGATATTTATAGATTTTTAGTTCCTTCATTATACATTTGAATGTTGATGAGACAATAAAGAAAGAAAGAGTAAAAAATTTTGGAATAGAAGATGAAAATTTTGAACTTATCTTCTAAGTTAGTCTTTCCCATGAAAGATTTTTTCATATTAACTAATAATATTTTTATATATACAAAAAAATATATGTATTAATTTTATACATACGAAAATATTTAAATGACACGATACTTTTAGTTAAAAAAACGATTTAAGATTGAACAAATGATTGTAACTATGAATTGATAATTAACTACATACTAATATTTATATATTTGATTTAGATAAATGATTTTGGTTTACAGATACTGTGATTTATTAACTCAATTAATTATAAATTTGATAATAAAATTATTATAAATTTAATATTTATTTCTATTAACTTAAAATAACTCTTGGGAAGAAAGTTAAAAATAAAAGAACAAAACAAATTATTTCATTGTAGTTTCCTCTTGATTTCTTATATGTTGGTTTTTAACACACTAAGTAAAGTTTTGATTTGTTAATATTTTATGAACAAACTGAAAATAACAATGTTAATTAGTTGAAGTTGGTTAATTTTGGGTATTAATCCAAAAGATCATGAGTTTAGATCCTATTATTGACATTTTTATTTTTATTTTCACATTTTGTCTGTACATAACGATGCAAATATGATTGATTTTTCAAGGTATATTTTAAAAAAAATATTTACGTCATTCTCAGCTATCATGTGGCATAGACATCAAAACAATAACGTCTCTTAAAGGAATTGATTTTTTTAGAAAACTTTTAGAAGTATGAAGATTAGTTTAGAATAAAAGAAATTCTGAGTTTATAGTATATATATATATATATATAATTGTGTTAACTATTTAATCCAAGAAATGAGTTAGAAAAGCTCATAGTTATTAGTTCTTCCAACACATCAGTAGTCCTTGAACACGTTTTAGCCGCCATGCATATGGAGAAACAAACAAGAGAAGGTGTCCCGTGCATACATATTTATATATGCGTATATACATATTACATTTATGTCTACCGAGCCTGAGGACCAATTTCAGCACCGAGATTAAAAGGGGTGATATCAAAAGAGGTAGATGATGTAATGTCACGAGACATTTCAGTCTCCAAACACTCCTTCAACTCAATCACAACATGGTTCATAGGTGGCCTCTGGATTGAAGTTGAAGGTACACATGACATGGCTATCTCCAAAGCTTTCCACACTGAATTCATTTCATAATTCTCTTCCAGTCTCGGATCAATTATCCTTCTGATATCTCCTTTCTCCATAAACAAACTCACCCATTTTATTATGTTTGTGTTTTCATGGGTTTGTATCACTGCAGGCTGTCCTGTAATTAGCTCCAATAGAACCACACCAAAGCTGTATACATCACTTTTCTCTGTTAACCTCCCAGATGAATAGTACCTGCACCATTATTTGAATTAATAATTATATATACATGTGTATGTGTGTACGTATATTATATTTTGTGAAATGCTAAACTCACTCTGGGTCTAAATATCCCACTGTACCAACAATTGAAGTCAATAAATGGCTGCCACTTTCAACTGGAAAGAATTTTGAGAACCCAAAATCAGCAATCTTTGCTTGCATTTTTTCATTCAGTAAAATGTTTGCACTCTTCACATCTCTGTGGATTATTGGTGGTTTGCACCCATGATGCAGGTATTCTAGCCCTGCACCATATATATATATATATATATATAGAGAGAGAGAGAGAGAGAGAGTAAATAGAGTTTCAGTGAAATAAAATTGAAGTAAATATGTACATAAACCCATTGTTCCTGCTGACCTTGTGCTGTGTCAACTGCAATTTTGAGTCTCTCTCTCCAACTCAACACTTGATTTGCTTCAGCTGAAATTTTAGAAACTAAAGTAAAGAATTCTGTTTTTCTAAACACCAGAAAATTAAAGTGGACAAGAGGAGAGATTAGGAAACTACCTGATAGATACTGCTCTAGGTTTCCATAAGACATGTACTCATAGACAATCCCAAAATTAGTACTGTCATGACAGTATCCGACAAGAGTAGTTAAGTTTTTATGATGAACACGCATCAACAGCTGAGCCTGTGGTGTACAATAACCCAAGTTGGAAACTTATATTTTGTAATAGGAAAAGAGGAATTTGACTCTAGTTTTTAAGTATCAACCTCGGTTCGAAACTGTTCTGACCCTTGAGCTGAGAAAGAAGAAAGCATTTTGACAGCAACTTGCATTCCATCATCCAGTTTACCATGGTACACTGTTCCAAATCCTCCTTTCCCAACAACAGTTTCGAAGTTATTGGTAATACTTACAATTTCAGTGTATGTAAACTGTCGATTATCCGATTTCAGAGAACCTTGTTTGAACTTGAGTAGAAAGTGTTGGGCTATCAAGAGCATATCACTTATGTCATTAAAGTTAATGTTACAAAAGTTGCAAAGAATTTTTTCATAACATTGAATCTTTTCAATCGTTTCAGTATATATTCCTCCATTACCTTTTTTCCTTTTGAATATCCAGAGAAAAAGAAATGCAGCAACCAATAAGACTACCAATGAGATTATGACTGCAACAACTGGCACTACAATATTTTTCTTCCCATTTCTGCATGGAGGCGAGAGACAAATATCCAGATTCCCTTCAATACTGTCATTAGAATTAACCTTAGGATGGGAAGTCATCATAAAAGTTGGAGAACCGAGAAATGACCAACAACTAATATTAATTACCTGAGTGATAGTGAACCTTTTCTTGATTTCTCTGTGAGGCCGGAAGGAATTAATCCTGAGAGTTTATTTCCTGCTAAATTACTGTAATGACAATGGGATTAGGCTTATAATCTCAAGTTGTTCTAGCATAAAGTCTCAATAACTTACAGAGTCATCAAGTCTGATAGTTGAGACAGAGATTCAGGAACTTCTCCTCTTAAACTGTTGTTGGACAAATCCCTGCAAAATATAACTTGTGAGTTGGGAATGATTTAAGGATATAATGGAAACATAGTTTATGGTAGAGTACTTACAAATACTGTAATGATTTGATCTTGGACAATGAAGGAGATATCTGCCCTTTTAATCCTTTTGAACTTAGATTCCTGCAATATTTTACATATATATGGTTTGGAATAAAATGATTTGTAAATGATATTTTTCATGTCTTGATCTGTGATCACTCACAATGAGATGATTCTTGGAGGATCATAACCACTGTAACTGCAATTTACATCATCCCAAGTGAAAATTGGTCCACATGGATCCCCCTCCCAGTTATCAACCACTTCATAAATCATCTTGATATCCAGAATAGCAAGAACTGATACATTTGAGATAGCAAAGAAAACTCTGATTACTCAGTTCTTCATTAAGAAAAAAACCATAAGAAGATTGAAACAGAAAAAGAATATCTTTAGATGGTTTACATACCATCTTCTTGAGCTGTGAAGGCCTGCAAGAAGTCCTTAAGTATATATATTTCCATGGCATTTACAATTGGAGGAAGTACAGAACGCGGTGTCTTATAGAGTCGAAACTTTAAACTGGCTCCTCTTACAGATTGATTGTTATGAATAGTTATAGATCTTAGGTAATTAGGAACAACAGATTCCTGCCATAGTTTACCATTCAACTCAATATTGAATTCTCTAAGTTGATCATCTTCGAGTTCTTGGAGTTCCGCAAAGTGCATGTACACGTAGTACTTTAAGGTGGGATCACCAATATCAAAGACTAAATCCAACGAGTCATTGACATCGATTGGCCTAATAGCAGTTTGCATTACTTTTGATGGCAATCTATACTCGGATTCTACCAGAGAGTCGGTGGTGAAGGACGTGTTGAATAATTCCTCTTCCACTACGTTAAAAGAAAACCACATCCTATCATAGACATCATCTTTGAACCTAGTAAAATTGAACGAGCATGTCATCTTCTATGACCTCATTAGCTTATCAAACTAACATATAGAATGAATCCTATAGTGTCTATTATAGGTACTTATAGGTGGTTCCTCTCCTGCAATAAGTTAGGGAGATAGAATCTGATACCATGTTAAATTCATATTAAAACCCATATAGTATATATAAAAAAAAACCGAAATTGAAATACCTGATTATCCGGTTGCTCGTTGAACCAACATCGAGTCTCCTGTGGAGAAGTAAGGGTCCGGATTCAGTTCTATAAATGGAAGTATGGAAATGCCTGACCTCCAATACTGATATAAAAGGAGTATCAGAAGTAGTCCTGATGAGGCAAACATAAATATTATCCATCATGGGAGCAAGTATGATCTCCTTGATTACAACATGAGATGCACTATCAAACTTGACAGTATCCCACAAATTCATTCCAACATAAAGATCGAATTCCGGCAGCTTGTTCAGTCCATCATAATCTCCATACATGAAGGAAGCTCGGATCAAGTAGATAGTAGCTTTGCCTTCTGGAGGACGTAAAGTGTAGCAGCTCCGGTTTCCTTGTGGGAAACTTCTAACATTCATGAAAACCTTTTGAAGATCTTCAGAAATGAATTTGGGAGATATGTTACTGTTGATTCCAGTGTTGATAAAGTGCGAATCGGTTGTGTAATGGATATCGGTGTTTGGGTCTATGGTAGTAGAACCTTCCGGGATTCCACAATCAATATTTATGTTGCCTGATCAGATAATATGAATACAAATGTTTGAGTGTGAAAATAAGGGATTAAAAGCTTGAACATGGAATATTTAAAAAAAAATGTAGCAAGTAAAAGCAGCAGGGTCAGTGTAAACTTAGTTAAATCACATAGAACTAACAAGTAGATATATGAAGAATTAGATTATTACCACCCACATCATCAAGTCTCCTTCTAGCTTGTTCATGGAGTTTAGAGCCTGTTGAATTTGTAGAAAAAGCTGAAAAATATACAAACCAGAGAATGGAACTCCACCACCGCATGACTTTTTGGCTCATTGAGGAAGAAGAAAAGGATGACAGAGAAAAAAAAAAAAAAAAAGAAGCTAAATATAACAAGAACAGCATCGAAGATGAAGATGCAGAGCATTAACTTCTTGAAAAAGACCGCTACCATCTTCTACGATATTTTTGCTTACGAAAATTCTACTACATTCAGTAAAATCTAAATATCAGAAAAACAAGTGAACTCCATTAAATAGCAGAGAAGTTCATTTAGGAAAAAGATAATCTGGGTATGTAAAATGTAAAACATTTTCTGGGTTAATGAAATTTTTATTTCTTATTTCTTATTTCTTTTGTATACAATTTATTAATTAAGTAAAAAATTATTTTTTAAAAAAAATATGAGGCCTGTATTCTTTTCTTATCCTTGGCATTAATTTGTGTCAGCTTTGGCATTTAAGTGATGGTGAAAGTATATGAACGATTCAATACAGTTCATTTCTGTCAAACTGAGTTAAGAAAATAGGTATTAAATGGGGTTCCAAGTTGTAAGGAAGATAGATATTTCAGATATTTTAGGAATTTTCTTACTCAGCTTTTAACTAATTTAATTCTTAGCCGCCACCCTTTTTATTTTATTTTATTTTAATTTTATGTGAGTTTTTTCAATTAAAAATAAGTAAGTCTATCAAATGTGACTAATTGTTGTTTATTTTTTTGAATGTGTTAAAAGTAATTCATTAAGTTTATAAAGTTATTAGATTTTATAAATTTTTATTTTCTTTTTTTGATGAGCCGAAATAAAATAAAATAAGATTCATAATTCATAACTAACAATTATACATAAAATCATAGTTCCCAGTTTTAAGAATTAGAGATTACATGAAATATATAAACTTAATCTCAATAAGATTGTAATTTTATTCTATTTAAATAGTTTTAATAGACATAATTAAAATTTAAAATTTAAACTGACCAATTAAGCAATTCATTATCAATTTCAAAATTCCTTTAAAATTTCTAACAAATTATTATTATTCATTGATAACCTCCAAATCGTTTTGCTAAATCGAATTAAATTGGGAGCTTCAAACCACAAGATTCTTATAAGAGTGTTCAAAAGAAAATTTTTAGTTATAACAATCTATGAAGAAATTAATTTACTATTAAAATTCATAAATTCTATATTATTACATTTAAATGAGACACTGTTACGCTTACAGAGGAATTCATGCTGAGCAATTAATGCATCAATTGTTTTAATTGGTACATACATATTCCAATATAAATATAATGTGGTTGGTGGGGTTTTCATGGAGAGGCATTTATGGACTGGGTTTCTCCTCTAGAAGCGCAACACTTGCAACAGGACCCTGGCGGTGGAGGAGAACAACACAGGCAAGCTGGGCAGATTGGTTGCTTTGGCCCTACGTTCTGAAGAAGACCTGCACATACACACGCATACACACACACACATATATATAATTAGCCATCAACAATATCAAAAAAGAAGTTTTTATATGTCGCCAAAACAGTTTATATATATTAATAAAATTAACTATCAACAATATAAAAAAAAAAAAAAAAGAGTTATATATATGTCACCAAAACAAGTTGAATATGAATATATATATATATATATATATATATATAACAGATGTATGTATATTAGTTGTGACGGATATTCACCAGGATGAGGTAGTCGAGCAGCCTCGCATGGCAGCATGGGAAAAAAAATCATAGCAAAAACGAGGAGAGCAACAAGGAGGGACCTTAAACCTGCCATGTATAAGAGATTTTATTTGATTTGAATGTTTACTTTAAATATGCTCACATTGGGAAGCATATTTATATTGATTTTTTAGGAGGACTTCATAATTACGTAGCCAAGTAATGTTCACAGTTTTTGACCTTTTAAGTTTGAATTGTTTCAATTTTTGTTTATTGCATGCAATTTAGACTTTTTACAATTAATGGTATATTAAACTTAAAATTTTCTCTACTCACTTATCTTATCATCATAAATAATATACTTTTAATAAAATTAAAAAATAATTTAGTAATAAAAATAGAGAGTGTTATCTTGAAATTGAGTTTGAGTATTCCATAATGCCTTAGTTTTAAAGGTGAGAGGATTTGTATTTAATTGACTTGGAGGGTGTTGTAACTAAATGATGATAAGATTATCAAAGATGGACTTTTTGCCATCATCCCTCAGTTTTCTCTTTATATTGTGTTGAAAGGCAGCAAATTTCAAAATATAAGACCTGTTCATTGAGTCCAAAAATTTACAATTTGGCGAATTCATGTTTAAATTTCATTTTACCAAAATTGCACTTGCTCTAAGTACAAATACACTAATTTGAAATCATCTTGTATCTGATCAAGTTTGTAAAAAAGAAGTTTCACTTGCAATATGCATGTCTGCGGTGAAACCTACACAACCTCACCTTGCTAATGTGAAAAATTATCTTTTATTACTTTCCAACGGATTTAGCTACCACCAAGGCAAGAGAGATCTTTTGCCGAGAAGAAAGAAAATTATATCACCCATTTTATCAATGTTGCAGATCGTGTGGATACCGAAAGAAGCAAAGATAAAAAAAAAAAGCAATGTTGTAGTGGGTGAGGCGCAATAAAGACGAAGATGAGTTATTATGGCGAAGATGCAATAAAGACGAAGATGAGCAATGTTGCCGAGTGGCAAGGTGCCATGGGGATGAAGATGAGTGGTTGTTGTGAAGATGTTGCAAGCTTTATATGAAGAACATGTCAATTGTGATGGAGAGGCGAAGATGAAGAGGAAGGTGACTGTTATGGAGAGCATATAAAGAAAGCAGATTTTAAGGTTTCCTCCTTTTTGTTACTTGTTTTCATTTAAGTTCTTGAAATTAAATAAACCCCTAAAATTTTTAAACCATTTTATTTAAATCCAATTTCTAAATTTATTTATTTTAGGGGTTGGATGTTACATTCCAGGTCAAGTTTGTATGTGTTTTTAAAATACAAACTCGAGTCTACCTCATCTTGGTTATACAGCTTTGAAAAACTCATTCAGTCCGATAATTTAGTTTGAGAGTTGAGTTCTAAGTAGACTGGATAACAGATTATCAGATTTTTTTGTCATCCTTATTAGTAACAAATTTCAGTTGCTAATTAAAATCATTTTGAAGGTTTTTTTTTTTTTGAGCTTATTTGGTAATATTTTGAAATTATTATCCAAATTTTAAAGTAAATGCCAATAATATTAATAAACGCGAAAGCCGAGTAGAGATTTATTTAGTAGGTAAATAAATAGTTTTATAATTATCAAATTAGTTTTATAATTTTGGATACTTGTTATAATTTGGTTTATAATTTTTTTTTTTTAAGTTGGTATCTCAAACGTTCAATCATCTTTTATTTACTAATGAGTTAAAATATTTAAGTTATATTTAGATGCTTTAAAAAATTTAACTCAAAAAAATTGATTTTCACTAATTAATAAGTTAACAACAATAAAAAAAAATATAATATTATGTTTAATTTATTAATCGATTAACTTAATTAATTAATTAAGGTTATTCTATTGAATTGTTTTCTGAAACGGTCTAATTATTTTAATTTTTTTTATTATAAAATGAAACAAAATTAACCATTGCAAACAAATACAAAATGTTAGCTATTAAATTTTAACGAAAAAAATATTAGAGATTAAACTATAACAAGTGTCAAATTTAATGCTTTATTCTAGTTATTTGCTCTAAATTAATCACAATCTTTATTACCATCAATAGGCGTCTCACAATTTATAGTTTGCTGACACCTTGAATATCACATATGTTATGTTATGAGAGAAATAATATGGTATGTACTTGTAATTTCAAATTTTCAAAAGGAACTAATAATTTTGGTGATAAAGCAAACCAGTCATCAACTTGTGGTTTTACATTACATCTTCACAATAGTGGAGATATTTTAGAAGTTAAGGGACTTAAGTGTAACCAAAATCCAAGGAAAACTTATAATGTTTTCATTTTATTATTTTCATTGTCATTTGCTCATCTACGTAAACGAATTTAAAGGAGATTGTTATAGAGATTGCAATAATTGAGACCAAATTACTTAAGCCTGAAAATGTTAATAATCATGAGATTACAACCTTGAACAGTTGCTATCTAATTGAATATACATTATGTTTATTTTAAGTATGTGATTGTTCTTACTGGTCACTAATATAATCGATACATAAATAATTGTATAGATGCTCATTATAGAAAGAATTCATTAAACTAACCCATCTAGATCTCTTGCATAGAAGGTTATCTCATTATCAAGTATGAGAGATTCATCATGATAGTAGTTCGTATTAGTAATTGAACTTTCAGTAATTAATATAATCTTATAAGTATTCCACTACATCTTGACACTAGTAATATCTCGTCAATTGTTATTTTATAAAAAAATTATTAAATATAAATTGAAGCTCATAAAAATAGGTGAATAGCAAAAAAAAAAAAAATGTCAATCTTTAAAAAAAAAATGAAATTACATTATGTGATTAATGATACTTGATTTAAGAAAATTTACTTGGCCAAAAATAAGATAAATTAAGAATAAGATACTAAATCAATCAAGTCAACTAATTCATAATTTAACACATTATTCATGTCTCTTGTCTACACATACCACAATATCGTGAAAATAGCTTATTATACAATAATTATTACGATAATGTTTAGTTATAGTAGAATTCATCTTAATAATAAACGTACTACAATTGCTATCAATAGATGTTGGATTGATGAAGAGTGGTGACTTGTTGGCATTTGATAACAAACTTGTAAAATCACACACACACATAACAATAGTTCAAGAAAACCATAAATTAGTAATGTCATATAATAATAATTTAGTAACCATCAAATTATTTGTAAGTAGTACGATTTGTTTATATGATAATTTGTTGAAATAATCGTAGGATCACATGAGATGTGATCGTAGAAGAAGAAAAAAAAAAAAAAAAAGAGAGACCGAGAAATTTCATTGGGGAGATTTGCTGTGGCTTTATGAGGAAACCAACTTTTCCTTTTCTTCCTCTCCGAGTGCCTCCACGTAAATTATCTCTTTGCCTTTGTATGGTCTCATCAAAAGAAAGATATGATATAATATAATATAATATATAAAGAAAAAAGAAACATAAATTTTAACTAATACATTATTAGTAGATAGATTTCGCAACAACTAAGACATTATTTTTCTTACAAGGTTTATATATGCGACGCGTAAACAAGCAATTACAAATGCCGTCCTTATATATAAAACTCATTTTGACTCGTGGCTTTGTTTCACCATTTTAACTTCTCCGGAAAGTACTGCATTAACACATTAAATTTGTATATTTAGAAATATTCTTGTAAGTTAATTAGTTAATATATATATATTACCTTTTCAAGGAGGGAGAGATAATATGGCTTCACTTTCTCCACATCAATTCGGATTTTGCTCTTGCTATACAAGTCATATTTGCTGCACAAAATATATAATTACTTTTTATCTGTACAGCACCAAATATATATTTATGTGCATGTAAAATCAATCTCTAATTTCTATCACGACGTCTTACTTGAAAATTTGCAACCATTTTAGATTTTCAACATCCTCCTCATTCATTAGGTGCCTGTAGGCTCTTGACTTGTGCAGAGCTGCATTTAACACCAATTAATTAATATTAGAAAACGAATGATTTGGCTAAAAATTTAAAAAAGTTACCGTAAAATGAATGGGTATCTGATGATGAAAAGAGCCGCCGGAGGCAGACTGGTTTTGTTCTCTTTTGCCACCTGAAAAATAGCACCGAGTAATTTCATTTTAATTTATTAATTATTTTAATTAATGACTTAAAAAATAGTACCAAAAACATGTAGTCATCGTGCCCCCACGACATCATGACGTTGTCCAGTCCGCATCCTCGATGGTAAATCCCATATTTAGTGTTGTACGCGGAATTGTTGTAGTCAGGGTTTTCCTTGAAATACTGCACTTGTATAATAATTTGAGAATGCTTTAAGATGAACATATTAGAATTATATATATATATATATATATAAAAAGATCAAAATTTTAAAATAATAATAATAATGTTTTTATGTAAAATTAAGTATAAGGAGTAATATCATAAAAAAAAAAATACCTTGTGATGAACAATGGAGTCATGGAAAGCGCAGCCAAGAGGAAAGGTGTCACCTATTACATTAATTAATTAATTAATTAATAAGAGATAACTGGTTAATTAATTAACATGCTACTCACCTACGACCGCCCATTGAGGAAGTCCTCCGAAGCACCTTTCCAAGATCTAATTTTTCAATATTTAGTAGTAATAATAATAATAGTTGATTTAATTAATTAATTAATGTACCATGAATAAGGGCAGTTAAATGGAGCCAATCATGATTAGGATAATCTCTTCTGATGGCCTCAGCAGTCTGTAGTAAGTGCTGAATTTGAGGTTCATCAAGATCAGGATCACTCTCATCAACCACTTGATTAAGTAGCTCACAGCATTCCCATATGCTCATCTCCACCCTATTTAAACTTCCATACTCTTGTCTCATTCTCTTCACCTGCAACCAATTTCATTCTATTTTTAATTATACCTAATTTTATCATAATTATATAATTTATAGGAAAATTAAAAAATTAAAAAAAAAAAAAAAAAAATGGTTGCTTACAAAATCATATGTCTGATTAACATGGTTGAGTTGATAGAAACACTCCACACCTTCCTGTCTCTCGCTTTCAGCATCCTAGTCTCTGTTTCAATCCAATCTTTAAATTAAATCTCTCATAATGTTTTCTAAAATCAGAAAAATACCCATTATTATTTAATCAATTTATTTTCTCTCTTTTTTTTTTTTTTTCTTTTCTAATCAATTTATTTTCCGAGCACAAACTGGGGTTTTCTACTGCAATTGTGATATTCTTTTTTTTTTTTTTTTTTATCTGGGTTATTTTCAATCAAAATTAAGCCATTTTGGTATAGAAGAAGAAACAAAAAAAAAAAAAAAAAAAAAAAAAAAAAAAAGGTACCTAAAGGTATGGCCAAATGAGTTGATTTGTGGCACCAATTCTTTGTCATCAATTGGTACCTTGTTTTCCCCTGCTTCAACTTCTGATCCATTTCCTTAAATAAACAAAAAATACTGAAATGGTACATCTAAGATTTTCCCCCAAACAAAAATATTAAGTCCTTTCTGTCTGGGGAAAAAAATAAAGTAGATAGATAGTGTAGTGAAACTAGAGACGAACTTGAACAAGAATTACCAAAGGGAAGGTGATGAACGATGACTGTCATGATGTTGAAACCAAAAAAAGCAAGCTGTTTTGGATGTAATTATTATAATGTATATACGTGTGGGTATTTATATTGATTTCACGACTCCTTCCCTGCCAATTCCCACTTCCTGAGTCCTTGCATGAAAATCATCACCTTATTTTTCTATTCATGCTTTCTCATTCGTCTCCTCCCACTTTTCTTTTTTCTAATTTATTTTTCACTAAAAATATCTCTCTATCTTTTAGTTAGAAAAAAATAAATTTATATTTTTTTTTCATCCAACATTACATGTGGAGGGAGAAAGAGCTGCAAGATCAGGGAGGGGGGTAGCAAGAAAGTTGCCACAAGGCAAAGAAATGTGAGTTTCGTGATTACTTATCTAATCTCTTTCTTCTTTTCTCCATTAATATTATTATCTCACGCTTGCCGAATTCTCCATTAATATATATATATATATATATTATCCTTTGTAATTATTTTAATAAATTTTAATTTTATTCACCAATTTACGCTCATTATAATCTATTTTAAAATCTAAAATAATTTATATTTTTTACTTATTTAATTATTCATTGCATCAAAATTTTTATCTTTAAAAATATAATTTTTAAAAAATATTATGTAAAATTAATTAAATTATATTGATGTAATTTGATTTTAAAGTATTTTATATTATCCACGAAAATTTATATTTTTGTTATGATGATATGATGTGAGACATTTTTTATACAGTGAAAGAATTTTTTTTTTTTTAATTTTTTTATATATGAACATATAATTTTTATTTTTATAATAAATTTATTTTTTTATCGAATTATATTAATTTTTAATATATTTTATTGTAATTATGTAAATTCGAGATTAATTTCTTCAACACATTATAATTTTCTTATCAAATTAACCAATTAGTCATGAATTAATTTCAGCCGTTTAAATTTTATTTTCCTAATGAAAGAAAATATGAACTTTGTATTCGATGATAATATCTGCGAGTTATCACCGTCACGACTGAGTCAGCTTTGCGCTGGACACCACAAATTCTCTGGTCACGTGATCCCCCGCGGGCCCCACATGACGTTTTACTTGTCCGCTCAACCCCACCCGACGTATGTCTTTGCTGTTATTAGGCACTTGCTATTTCCACTCCCCGTTTTATTTTACTAACCGCCACTCCGACAGGACTGACTGAAGTAAGATTCATAAATGGAATAGCCTAATGAACACGTGGAACATTTCACGACGCGTGTCAGTGTTTGACTCAGTAAGTTTAAACCTCAAGCTAACTCAGAAATAATAAATTAAATAGTAAATGCTCTACAATACCTCAAAATCAAATGTTTTAATTTCTTAAAATCTGGTTAACCCGTGCATTCGCATTCACAAGTCTCGAGTTTTCTGCTATGTAATTCATTCTTTAATATATATATATATATATGTATGTAAACTCTTAGCTTAATTAATAATAAAAAATTAAAATTGATGAAATCAAGTAAATTTAACTGTTTATAACAAAAATAAATTTAACTGCAATAAAAAATATAGCGGTGAATAATTATAGAACTTTTTAATTAACATATAAAATAAACATATTAACTTTTAGCAAAAATTCAAAAGATAAATCTGTGAATTCTTAATAATAATTATTATATTATCCTTAAAATCATATTTTAACTCTTATAGTTTACATCTAGAGAGATACATAGATGTTTATGGAAACTCCAAAATTTTTACCCCTACTCATTAAACGACTCTTTTTAATACTATATGGTTTGAAAGTCAATTATGCCTTATCTCGCATCAACCGTTGTACTCTAAAATTTCAAATCCTGCAGGTTGGTCTATCCAACACTTACATGTACCAAAAGAGGTTGAATCCACCAAAACACACGCCTTATGCTCTGGTTCTACGCTTCAACAAACAGTTCTTCATCAAAAATTGATCAGTTTAGTGTAGTGTATATCTTTCAGAAAATGCCCCATATTTTGTTTGCACACATTAATCAAGTACAGCCGTCCACAACCTAACTACCAAAATACTGAAATTTAAAAGCTGTGTTATTATATAGTCCATAACTATTTTGTTTCTCCCACAAAAATGATGTACCTCTTTTAACAACATATTAAACGAAAAATGATGTTAAGACATCAATACTTCATTCTCTTAGCTGGACCTTGATCGATGATGGGATCAACAGAAGACTGTGACTCTCCTGCTTGTTGGCTTTCAGTGCCTTTCTCTGCTTCGGCTGCTGTTGGGGGAATGTACCCTTCGGGAAACGGTGGCGGTGGCGGAGCTGCAGGTAACTGCAGAAAAGAACAATAGTCCTTAGCAGCTGCAACTTAAGAACACAGGCATTTTTTATCAGAGAGAAGAAACTCATTCATCGAAAAAGGCACCAAAGGGGTCACTCTAATACAAAACCTATCAACAAATCTAGTAGAGAGAACCAAAATATTGACAACATCAAAATCCCATCTTGAATGGGGTTGCCTTTGAGCGTATTATTTAAAAGTCTCCAACCAGTAATTTACAATCTCAGCAAAAGATGAGTAAGAATTCTCAAAAGCTCTCCTATTTCCCTCCTAAATAACCCAAAATATAGACAAAGGACCAAGGGAGATAATCTTCTGTTTGGACTTTGGATCATAATATTGTTAAAAGCCCAAATTTCCTCAATAGAGCGCCACATCACCCAAGAGAGATTAAGAAGGGAAAGATGCAAATGCCAGAGCAGAGGTCAAGCTAAAACTGGATCCTCCTTCAATTGCCAACCTAAAACGTTGAGAAGTTCATAATACCATTAAATTCTCTTATCTTCTAAGTCCACAGACTAGAGCCAAAAGTGCCTCTACCCTTATAGAAAAGCACCCATTACTTGCAAAACCAAACTTCACAGTTCTGAATTTTTTCCACAAGTATAAAGTCCACGAGAGCTGCATGCGCTGTCAACTCTCGTCGACTTTGTACTTACAGCGAAGATCTGCTTGTAACCTACTGTCTATTTTCCTTCTAGTAATTTTGTGAGTTCTTATGCACCATGTTTCTTTGGGGCCTTCATTTCTTCCAATATAGCTGTCTTCCAACCTGGACTACTAATGCTCCCTGAATTGACTTGGGAAAATGAGTCCTATCTAGACTCGTAACAAATGCCTGAAATTGAGGTGATAACCTTGCATATGATACAAAATTACATAAAGGATGGTTTGTGCATGATCTTACCCCTTTTCTTAGTCCCATTGGACGATCGTCTGTAGTTGCATCACTTCCAATGTAGTCAGATTGTCTGTTGAAACCTTTGTTCGGGGTTGATACTTGGTTATGCTCAGGGCTGGAAGTCACTGCTCTATATCCTCTACCAGTTTCTTTCTTCTAGAATAAACGATAATATCCCCCTTTTTAGTTTGTTCTGGGCTTTGAGTAGACAGGTTCTCTTCAGAATCCTCTTGGGTAGACTCAATTCTGTAATTGGTTCATGTAATGAAATAGAGTTTTCCTGAGTAGGCTATTATTCAATATTTTGGTTAGTTTGGTAATCTTCCTTTGTTCAATCCCAAATCTGTGATTCCTTTCCCCCTAAATTTCAGATTTGGCATAAAATAGTTGTTGCTCAAAGGTCACATCCATAGAGGTATAAAATCATTGGGTTCCACGTGAATAACATTTGTATCCTTTTTGGTTTGGGGTTACCCAAAAAATATGCACTTTACTGATCTTGGGTCCAATTTGCCACGTTGTTGTGAGTCAATGTGAACAAATCCAATGCATCCAAAGATTTTCTGTGGGATTAATGAAATGGTTCTGTTATGTGGGTAGTTTGTAAGAAATTTCTGGATTGCTGTCATAAATTTTAGTACTTGAGAAGTCACTCTATTGATGAAGTAAATAGCAGTGACTATGGCTTCCCCGCCAAAAATGGTTTGATACACTGGTTGCAAAAATAAGTAATCTGGCCACCTCAAGAATATGACAATTCTTCCTTTCATATTCCATTTTGTTAAGGTGTATCAACACATACTGTGATGTGTAATGCCTTGATTTTCTAGGTAGCTTCCAAGGGTTAGTTTGAAGTATTTCTTAGCATCATTAGTTCTCAGAATTTGAATTCTCGTGTGAAATTGGGATTGAATTATGTTGTTGAATTTTCAAAATATTTTTCCAACTTCAAACTTTTCTCTCATCAGGTATACCCAGGTAATTCTGCTATGATTATTAATAAACAAAACAAAGTATCTAACTCTGGTAATATTTTTTATTCTTGATGGTCTCATACATCACTATGGATAAAGAAGAATGGGTTGGACCCTTCACAAGGCTGAATCTGGTGAGTGCTGGGGGTATGTTTTACAAATTGACATATATCACACTGAAACTTCTTAGAACTTTAATTAACTAATAAAGGAACAAGTATTTGCAAGTAACTAAAGCTTGAATGTCCCAATCTATAGCGCCACAACATGACCGCGCTATCATTATAAGTAGTAAAACGGGAAAAATCAGAAAATAGGTATTCTCAAGTGTGATTACTAGAGAGGATATAGAGTCCTGAGCGTAATTTAGCATTGCCAATTGTCTTTACCGAATGTAGTTGCTAAAATTCAATCATATTTGAATTAAATTTAGCAACTCTCAATTCTTGGCTCAGTTTACTAACTAACAATAAATTACAACTTACTATAAATTTTTTTATGGCATAGGCTATATGTTATGAACAATTTCAAATTACTAGTCATGTAATCCAAACTCTAGAGTCAATATGATCCATGTATTGGTTAGATTTTGGAAACTAGATGGGGT